GATGGGGATGATGGGTTCACTTGGAGTTAATCAACAACTTAGAGCAAATGGTCCGCTTTCTTATGGTCAACGTTTCACTAATAGCCAAATAAGGCAGCAGCAGATTTCAATGCAAAATCCTCTCTCCTCTCCTCAGGTTTGCCTGAAGAGCTCAATACCATCTGTTGCTCGGAAAAACAATAGCTAACAAAATTTCACTGCCCATTTTATGGATTTGGATGCATGGAGTATTTTTCTTAGAATATCACTACCTTTTGTCATATGATTGCGGTCCATAGGCATCAGTGTAGCAGTTATATGAGTAACTGCATCGTTGCTTTGGGTGCATTAAAGTTTAAGCAACTAGTTAATATTGGTGCTAAACGTACCAATTCCTCGTTTCTTGTTTTATCTTTTTAAATTGTATCGAAGAGCCTAGCTTTTTAACAACAATAATTAAGGAAAATAGGTATAGATGTAATTTTTTCTTGTAAAAAATTTCAGTGGTTGCATCATGGACAGATTGTGGAGTGTCCAGCTTGATTTTAAGACAATGGTTGAATCTAATATAGTTTACAAGCTAGTAGGCAAGATCTTATTCTGACACTGATCACATTTGGTCTGACCTTCTTTTGTGAGCATATGTTGGTGCTCTAGCAGTTAACTGGACTCACTCGAGTAATATTTTTAAACATAAATTAATAATGCCCTTGTATTTGGTATTATAATCAGAGAGATTTTATCAAATGTTGTTTATTCTACGTAGGTGTAGATATTGATCTTGGTTACTGCTTCAAAGGAATAAAGCAGAACTTTAGCATTATGTAGGTTTAGTTCAGGTTGTCAAACTTTTTTCAGCTGTACTGCCTGACATTGGGGTGTTCTTGTTGTTGAGCTTTTCATCCTCTCAATCCTTTTTTTTGGCCCATTTGTCAAAAAGAATTTAGAGATGCTGTTACATGTCAATATGAGAAAGTGTCAACCATTAGTGTTTACTTGGAGGTGCGCTAAATTACATGGAGTGTAAATGAGGTCATTGATGAATGTATTTCTGCTAATGTATGTGCTTCCAAGCACATTGTCTGAAAAAGCATAAACCTCAGGTATAATATATAGGCTTCAGTTGTTGAGGTTACTATACGCTGAAGCAAAATGCCATTGCCATGCTTTGGAGCATATTGAAGCAATCAGTTGGGAGCTTTTTAAAGCGCTCATAGTCAGAACCTCTTTAGTCAATATAAGTTCTTAAGTTAGAAATTGTTAGGAGCAGGACTGAAGGCAATATGGGTACAGAGGAATCTTTAGCTGATTACAAATATGTATAGATAAGTTCAGGGTAGTCTTGCTCTTTGTATATATGGTTACAATTTTTTTTACTGCCCAATTCATTTTTTGCTCTTATTAAGTTAATACGTCCTGTCAGCCACGTCCAGTTACTTCTAGTTGTCTAGATGATAATGTGTCTCGGTTCATCTAGCAGAAACTTTCTGGTCAAGGCTTACCAAGAGGTTCATCATTGGCATCAATGAATGCCCAATTTTCTGGGTTAACTCAAAACGGTCAGCCAACATCAGTACAAAATGCTCTTGCCCAACAGCCATGGTTGAAGCAAATGCAGCAAACTGTTTCTTCCCCAGTTTCTCCTTCACAACATCTTCAACAGCAACAGAGGCAGCAGCAAGCTTTCTCACCACAACAAACCTCTTCAGCTCAGCTGCAGCTTCAAAAATCTATGGGTCTGAACCAACAGCAAATCTCCCAACTGGTACAACAGCAGCAGCTAGGATCTCCAAGACAGCACCAGACGCAGCAGCAACAATTGATTCAGCACCAGCAGCAACAAATGCAACTACAACAGCTCCAGCTATTTCAGCAGCTTCAGCAGCAGCAACAATCTCCAAGGATGCAAGGATCTGGATTTCAAAAATCTATAAGTTTGACTGGGTCACAGCCGGGTACTCCTGCATCTGTTACAACAAATACTGGTGGAAATTCGAGCCAGGGAGCTGAAACCAGCAGTCAGCTTCTGGGAAAAAGAAAAATACAGGATCTGGTTTCACAGGTAAAACTTCTGGTAACCTCGATATTTCTAGCTTATGCAACAGTCACATGTTTATATCTTCTCTTTGAGTTGTTACGTCATTTCATCACTTAAGATAGGTTGATTAAGGTTGAGCCAAAAAAAAGGTGCAGGTCATGACTGTTCATATGAGCCTATGGTAAGACAGGAAGGACAGGATTATGTTGGTTACGACGAAAGATCATGATCTAATTGTATATGCATTCAAATCATAAATGTGAATTGGCATGTTACATGAATGATTTATTTCTTTATCATTACGTATGTTTGCTTCCTCTTTTGCACTTTGCCTTTATGAGCAGACTGCAAGAGGAGGCAATTGGCATGTGTCCATTTGGTGGGATGGGAAGGAGGAGAGAGTTTTGGGCGGCTTAAATGATTAATAGATAGAGTTTGATTATATTTTATTGTTCAAAAAATGAATGTTCCATTTGGGAATGTATTGGGGGTTCTACAGAGGTTAAACGAGCTTTAGCAGATAGAAATTGAGTAGCTGTTATACAAAAATGGAAAATGGATATTCCACTCGGTAATGTACATAATTCTTTTAATGCCTCGTTTGGTACGTGAGAATCACCGAAAATGAGAATGGAATGGACTAAGTAATGGAATGGAATTAATGTGAGATGGAATGCTCATTTTCATTCTCATTGGTGCAATTTATAAAATGAAGTGGGAATGGACGTATTTTAAAATTTTATATTTTATTGATTCCCATTTAAGTAGGAATGCCCATTCCCTATCAGTTCATTGGGAATGCTCATTCCCGCATAAAGTGGGAATGAACATTCCAACTTCAGAGGTTGTGTTTCGTAGGAAGGAATGAAAAGTGAGAATTGATATTCCATTCTCACTCATTCCCGCGTACCAAACGACGCCTAAATGACTCGGTAAAACAAACAACTGGGCTGCAAAATTGATCAGTGGCCTGTGCGGTGGTTTCTTTAATGCTTAACTGCATCTAGAATATGTATGGTTAGATTTCATGCCATATTTCTGACAAACTTAGAAACTTTGTTAACTAGTGAGGCAGCATACTGAATGCCTCCTGTCTCTTTTTTCAACTTTATTTTTATTATTTATTTCTTAATTGTATTTTCTGACTCTGCATTCTTTAAATTCTGTAGGTGGATCCCCATGCTAAGCTGGATCCAGCAGTTGAAGACCTCCTTCTGGAGATGGCTGATGACTTCATTGAGTCGGTAATGCACATAGTTTTACTGTTCTCTATTTTGTTTTCTGTTAGTTGTTCTTCCACATGCTTACTTTTTTCCCTGCACTATGAGGGGCTTTTTTATTTTGGTATCATCAGTAAAAGGTGCGTAGCTTGATTGTCTTGTAAAGCTTCGTTTCTCCTTTTGGTTCCGGGACAAACAGTCAAATCTTGATTTGGGTCCATCCATATTTAGAACTTCATGAAATTATATTCAGACATTTGACAAGTCAGCATTGTCAAGTGTATGCTTGGCAAGCGTTATTTACAAGATGATAGATTTTGAAGGTTGACATATTTATATGTTTATACTTCTGTATGATTTATCCTCGAGTATATTTTATTCATGTATAGTTGTTTCGACTCTTATAGCTTACTGCACATAGATATCCTTTTCCATCTTGATGTTAGGTGGCTGAAGCACACAATTGAAAATCACTTTCATTTAAAACGATGTAACAATGTTATAGAAGCGCTAGACGCCGGACCAGGCACCTAAGCGGGTGCCTAAGCAGCATGTAGTTCTTTTTAGCATCGAGAGGAATAATTGTTTTCGAAGATTCAAAATCATATACTCACCATTTTATCTTAGATGAACTTAGAGATTTGATCCATTTTCACCGGACTCGTTTCCTTTACTTGTTGTTATATTTAGGCTCCTTTTTCATGTGGAAGTCCATGTAAGTGGCCCATGTTTGCACAGGCGCTCTCAAGAATTAAGCGTGAACTTAGATTGAGTTCTGATTTGATCCATTTTAACCTGGCTCATTCTCTTCACCCGTTGTTATTGTTATGTTTAAGCGGGTAATAAACCCCTTTTTGATGTGGTAAGTCCATGTAAGCGGCCTATGTTTGCCTAGGCCCTCAAGAATTGAGCGGGCAGACTAGGTACCGCCTAGGCCTAGGCGGGCGGCGAGACCTTTTTTCTCAAACAATGTGCCGTAATCTTGAGAACCATAAGCGTGCAGTTGAAAATAACAACTAGCTTGGTGACTATTCAGGTAGAAGATGGGGGATTTCAGGGATGACCTTTATCCAGAAGATCAGCAACTTCAATTTAGTAATTTACTCTTAGAGATGTTTTGAGTCAGAGATGCTAATTATTGAAGGCAATTCAGCGGAAAATCATGCATAGTTTCCCTTTTTGTAAAACATGAGATATAATTTTCTATTTCTCGCTAAGCATTATCATGATTCAAGAAGTCAATTTTGGCAATTGTTATCATCTTGGTATAGTCAGAAGCCACTGCCAAACAGAAAACATGCACACATGTCCAAAGGAGTGGGTTGAAATGCCTGAAAGTTGGTAACAACAAAAAAGTTGTTATCCCACTTTGGGGTTGGCTATGTGAATCTTATTCTTCCATTCAGTTCTATTAAGGGTCATCCCTTCCATTATATTAACCTATCATATTCTTCTTCATTCATCCAATCAAGTTCTATTAGTGAATGAAGAGTTTTCTTGTTCAAAATCATTGGCGATTCCTTTGTAGTGATAAGGAAGAATCAGATGGTTGATCACTCTAGTTAGTATCCTGGCAAATATATAACATGTGAAACTTTATTTTAAATACTCAGTATATTCATTACTTTTTCGGTATGGTCTTTGATTGGGACAACTGATGTTTAAAGCTACCTACCACCTTGGATTAGTGCTTGATGGCTATGATTCACAATTTTCTTAAATTGATGTTTGAACAACACTTGTTTGAGTCGCGCAGATATGTTTTCCTACATAAACTAGGAAATTCAGAATCCTCTGTGCCTAATATTGTCACATGCTGCTGTAGAACTTGGTTAACATTTCATGGACTGCTGGCATTCATGTTGCATAAAATTTTCCATGCCTTTTCACATGGCGCAAAAGTGACTTAACAAATTTCTCGTCTGCACTTAGCTAGGGAAAAACTGACTGTTCTTTTTCCTTCAGGATCCTAATTTTTGTTCTTCTAATTTGTGATAATTTAGTAATTTTTCATTACACTGCCTCTCTTATGACATTCTAACAATAACTTTTTGCTGCAGGTTACCACATTTGCCTGCAGCCTAGCCAAGCATCGGAAATCTTCAACTCTGGAGTCCAAGGATCTATTGTTACACCTAGGTAGAACACTGTAGTGCTCTTCATTTTCCCTATCTCATGACAAGGGGAAAAAGATATATTTATTTTGACATATCTAAAATTTCTTTTGTGTTTGTGTATTATGGAAATACACCAAATGTCTCCCCAGAATTTTATTTTTTGCTAGATTTATGTTTATTCACGTATGATAATTTCTTTCTTTGGTAGGTTTGATGAATACCATGGATAGACCTCTAGGATTATTTAAGTATCATTTTTATTCCTCGATTCTAAATTTCTAATGGCATGAATCCATTATGCAGAAAAAAACTTGCGCTTGACAATTCCAGGATATACCAAGGAGGGACAGACTTTCCAAAAAGAACCTGTAAGTCGATCTCTCTAGAACATACTTAGGGTCTGTGTGGCTTTCAAATTTTATAAACTGTAGTTATTTTTAGTTGCAGTTACAGGTTTACAAACTGTAGTTATTTTTAGTTGCAGCCATAGGTTCACAAACTTCATTTTGAGTAATGACTGGATTTGGATTCTTCATCTGACTGGATTGAGCCAATGGAATTGGATTATACCTGTATTTGTTCTGGTCTAACTTATTTTTAACTTCTTTTACTACCCTCGGGTATTGTCTTGATAAGTAATGTTTGACATGCTTCACATGATATTGCTACTCATCTTCTTCGAGCTGCTATTCTTGGTTTCTTTTTTGGCCTTTAGTTTACTTGATGATTCTAAAATGCTGACCTTATGTGGTTGTCATTTTTCCATTGGAGGTCTTGTGCACTAAAAAATGACATCTTGCCCTGTTGATTTACTTCTTTCAAAAGCAGGTACTAAAGGATGTGCATAATAAACGCCTGGAATCGGTAATAGGAATTTTTACTGTAATGATTCTGGTTGTGTTTTATTGTTCAGATACTCACTGGATGTGTAAAACAATTAACACAGATAAGGGCATCAGTGGAGTCTCAACCATTTGAAAAGGATGCAAATTGTGTCAGAAATACAGGCAGACAGGTTTCAACTGATACATCTCTAAATCGTCCATTCAAACCTTCGCCAAGTTCAGAGCAGCTGGCTCTTTCTGCAGCTGCATCTCAAATGCTACAGAAAGTCCCTCGGTTTTAAGTGTTTTATCTTTCTCCCGTTTCTTCAGCTTCCCTCTCGTGCTGATAACTGCCTAGTAAGTTCTTTTTTCAGGTTCATCAGCACTATTTGATTCAGTAAAATTTGTAAATGGGTAAATTACACAAAATCTCCCTCAACTCTGGGCCGTTTCCCCCAAAATCCCTTAACTTTGTTTTTTCCATTAGGGTTAGTTGCAGTTGTAGAGATTTATGTAATGGCTTTTCAACACAAAAATATCATTTCAATTGAATGGGGGTTTGGATGAGGAAACCATCTTGGAAAATTGATCTGAAATTTCATAATTTGCTAATGTTAGAATCAATATTCGGTATTGAATACATGATAATT